TATATTATTCATATAAATAAAAAGAGTTCATTATATAAATACATTCTTAATTGCATTATAATAAAAAAAAAGAAAATGTTATTATTTTTTATAACTCCATAGGATAAATAAGTCATAAAAATTGAAAAATAGACATTTATTTATACCTAAAAAAATAACCAAAATTTACATAATTTAATGAAAATCCTATAAATGTTATAATGTTTAGTCCTTCATTTCTCCATAATTATATTTATGATAACATCATTTGATATTTACAAATTTTATAAATTTAAAACCTGAGAACTAAAAGTGGAATAATTCATGTTTACCCCATTATAATTCTAACATCCTGAGTGAGCGCTTTATTTTTTAATATTTTTTACAATGATTAGTTATATTCTTAAGGCATTATAAAAATTTATACATATAACTGTGATAAAATATTATCACTAAGAAGTTTGTTGAAATATATAAATCAATTGATTTATATATATTTTTTTTTAAGCATATAAAATCATGCTAAAAATATTAATTAATTGTTATAATATATATTTTCATTTACAATTTAATATAAGGATTGGATAACTATATAATTTCCTTATTTCACGTGTAAATATATTTTTATTTGTTTTATTCGTATATTATATGTTAAAAATTAAATATTAATATATAAAAATTAACACTAATCAATTACTTTCCCTTCTGATAGTTTATAAAAAATATTTTTAAGGCATATACACATTGAAAGGCAGTATTATATGCTTTAATGTTGATTTCATTACAATAAAAATTACATTTATTTACACTTAATATAATGCATACCAAAATTTTTTAATTTGTTTAAAAAAAAAAATATATATATAGCATATATTATTTAGTTATTGGGATACTAAGAAAGATCAAAAAAAACAACATATAGAGAATGTTTAAATATTTTTGTTAGTAAATGTATTTTTTTCTTAATACGGTTTTCTTTTTTTTGTAAATATCCAATGTCTTCAGAAAATCATAAATTTATAAATTTCAAATCATGATGCTTAAAACAGAAAAGTGGAAAGAATTTGAGGTAAGGTTAATCAATTATAATATTTTTATATATTGTATTTATTAAATTTTCCCCTCTTATCCAAAATATTTTAATTAATTTTTTTAATTAATATATTCAATTTTTAATTATTTTGTGTTTTTTGTTTAGCAATTAGCTGTATCATTTGGGGGAGACTTAACTTCAGAAAAATTCTATGACAAATTATATAATTTAAGAAATTTTAGTCATTACGCTAATAATTGTGAAAACTTAAGCTCCTATAAAAATGGATCAGCGGTTAAAAACGTATGTGCAAAGATTTTAACATATTTAAGTAGTAATGAAGAATTAAGAAGTAATTCCAATGTCTATGATGTATGCCGACTCTTAAATTATTGGGTAGCCACTAACTTAAGTGCTATTGGGGGTTATGGTAATTCTTCATATACCATAGATACATTTTCGAAAATTTCTATTATATGGAATGAATTTATTATGAATAAATTACAGAATAATCATCATCAAACATGTAATCCTCGAATAGACATGATTTCTCATTCTGATTGGAGTAAGAGGAAGGAAGTGTATGATTACTATGTTGATCATGCTTACCTTTCTGGTATGTCTACAATATTGGTAAATCCCACCGATTACTGTATACATATTAGGAAAAAAATTTCTTTATATGATTATTTTAACGTTAAATGTGCTTTGGATGAAACAGCTTTCTGCTATGAATTTAAAACTAAATATAAAAATTGTGATCCAAAGGAACTTTTACTTAAGTTTAACTGTGCTAAAGAAGTGGAGGAAAAGAAGTCATTAGAAAAAAAAACAGAAAGGGAATTACACCAGGGTGCATCATCAGAAAGAGGCATGTTTCAACGTGAAAGTCAGTTACAAGATTATACAACAGAAGGGACACAAAATCTTAAGGTTTTAAAGACAATGTCTAATAGATTTAGCCCTTTGAAAAAAGCAGGTGGTATACTTCTAGGAATCGTTGCTATATCCATGGCTTATGGATTTTTACATAAAGTAAATAAGAGGCCCATTAAATTACTCAATCTGTATATATTTCTTTATAACTTCCCTTCCCTATATATCTATTAATAATAATTAAATGTATTCTATGTATTATTTATTACATCAAAGTTTACACCATTAGGAATTTGGATACGTAATATATTTGCTAATAAAAATAATAATAGAAATAATATAAATTCTGATTTTAATGAAGAATTTTACTATTCACAAAGACTATATGATCAGAATTATAACAATAGAGATGAACATTGTATAGGTTATCACTCCGACTAATTTTTTTTATAATCTAATAGATTATTATGACAATTTTATAAAAATATATACAAGTAAAAAATATAGTTTTTAAAAAAAAATTATGTTGACACTAGTAATTATTTGTATAATAAATAAAATACTATATTTGTTAATACGGAATATTCTAAGAATATTTATGTATAAAATAAGAAGGAAAGAAAAAGGAAAATTAAATTATGCAGAATTAAATAATATATTATATATGAAAGTGATTTATTTTTATTATCTTTTATATTTATATTTATTTATAAATTTTCCCCATAAAATAGGAATAAGTTACTTTACAAAAATACATCTTAAATTAAGAACTATACACTGATATGATGGAAATAAATATGTGACAATTAATAGTATCTTTTTATTTTTTTTTTGATGACATATAAATATTACAGTTTGAATAATGTAAAATTTTTATTTTTCATCATATTTTAATGCTTATTTGTGGCACGATCACTTCATAGAATAAGGGGCGTGCGTATATTTATACAATGAATAATATAATGCACAATTTCTTTACAAGACATAGTATATTTAGGAATATTTAATATTAAATATATTATCAATATTACATGAAATTTAATATATTATTTTGTAAAACATTTCATACATCATATTAATATATATTAACTGGAAAATACATGTATTAATATAGAAAGAACAATATTATATTTTTAGTAAATTGATATAATTATTTAAATTCATTTTGTCATTATTGTCTATATTATTATTATTAAAAGGAAACGATAGTTTTATGTGTTTTACATTTGGGTTTAGGTTAATGATTTAAGATTTAGAGAACATAGTTTATAATTATTTAATACATTTTATTTTATATATATTATTCTCTACAATAGAATATAATTTATTTACACATCAATAATTTACGTTCATTATATTATAATGTAATATATAAATATGTTAAACATAGAATATTAACTAGAATTTACCATTATAGAATTTGCAACGTAATAACTACTAATTATATTTGATTAATAATTATTTATTTATATTTATGCATAAATATGTAAAAATATATATATATTATGGGTATACAGATTTTACAATAAAAAGACGCAATTGACTAGTCTGTCCAAAGCGTACTCTAATATATATAAAAGTATTTAGAATATATTTATTTAAATTATATTATAGAACATGTCATTCACATATTTCTATAAATTTTTATTATAATATAAATATAAAATTTTAAAAAAGCTTCTTATTCCATAACTCGTCAACATGAAACATTTATGTATTATAAATTTTTTAATATACTTAAGTGTCCTTGAATAAATAGTATCCTATACTTTTTCATATGTATATAAAAGTTTTATGAAAGCAATAGTTAATGTCATGTTATTCATGCGTTACTAAACAAGATATATCTAATAAAATAAAAGGATATCTAAAATAATGCATCAAAGAATATAAAATGATCTACAATTATACGAATATACATTTCAATTTTTGGTTGTAACATATAGGATATTATTTTCATAATTTTTTATTCTAATGTTGTATAAGTATTTATTTTATGTATATTATAATAATAAATATTTATGATTAATAAACGCATTATAAATTTTATCGAATTGTAATTTAATGTATTATTTATTTAAATGTATTAAAAATAATATCATAGGAGGTATAATTCTTTCATTATACTGCATAAAATATGAGACATATACAATATAATATATATTATAAATTGTAAACATATTGATATATAAAATATTATATCAATTGAAATTATTTAATATTATCATAAAACATATGTACATATTATAATATATATGTTATCGCATTACTGAAAAAACATTTCACATATATGTTATTAAATATATATTTTAGTTTATATTATTATGAATTTATTTATCAAACTTTTTTTTTTTATATACATATTTTCTGTAAAAATTTATAGCATATTTGTTTATAGTGATATATAATATTAATTTAATTGAAGCATTAAAAATCTATGAAAATTCTTATATAAATATGTTCCTTATATATATTAAAAATAGAAAATCTGTGCTAATGTATTTTATAATTGTAAGAATGATTAAACATCCCCAAAGGAATTAGAAATATTTATAATTATATGCACTATAATATAAATATAGATATTTTTTCTTATAATTTAATAATTTATATTTATAAAATTTAGAGATAGTGCTTCTTATAATATAAATTTATGATAATATGTTAATCTTTCATTGATTATTTAATTAATTATACACGACAATTAATATGCTGTATCAAAATAGCATTTTTCCATATTAATCTAAAAATAAGGAAGGATAAAACATAAATGCTTATATATATTACATATAAAAAATTATTGTGCTTTTCAAATTTCGTTATAATATAAATCCTTATTTATTTAAATACATATATTCACAAGTGTATCTTTATGCCAAATCCATAATTAGATATGAAAAATTATTTTAAATTAAAAAAATGCTAAAACGAAATATGTAAATATCATTCTAGTAATTAATATATATAATTTATGTCCTATATTTATATATTTATTTATAAAAATATTACAATTATCTTAAAAAATTTTTTTTTACCTATTAAAAGGAAAGCATATACGAAACCATAATATACACGTGATTTAATAATTTAATAATAATTATAAATAAATTTACAACAAAAAAGTAAACTAATATCATTTGAAGCAAAAAACATATGATGTGAAGAGAAAAAAAATTTATTTTTTTAATTAATATATGGAGAATTATTTTTACTACTATTAAAATATATATATAATAAAAAGAATACATATATATATAAGTATGATAGTTATTCAATAGAATATTTTTAATGATATATTACATATATTTATGAAGTTGAATGAAATAGTGTGTTTTATATGAAAATTAAATAGAATTATTAAAATTAATATATACTATTTTTATTTATTTGCATTGGTAATAATTATTGTGACACATTAAGTGTAAATTTGCAAGATTATTATTAAATACATCTATATCTTATTTATTATAAAAAAAAGATTAGAAATAATTATATATTCTCATGATATGTTTAATTTTTTATTCGCAAAAAATGAATTATTTCTTCTATATGTTAAATATAGTCATTTTATTTTGATTTATAGCATCTGTATAACACATTGATAAGTTTTATAATTATTAAGTTTATAGACTATAAATTTTATTAACGCTTAAGACGAATTTGCTAAAAATTCTTCATTCATCTATATGGGTACATATCGATTATTTATTTTACCAAGTTATATTAGTTAAAGTACAATTATTGGGATAATATAATAGATATTATTAATTTTATCCTATAATGTTCTTACATATTTTTAGAGTTAATATAAATTTGGCAATAAATAATATAAGTTTAATCAATATTTCTAATTATTAAAAAAACTAGATGCATTGAATATACTTATTTCAAGAAATAAAATTATGAATATAATAGTGTAATGCTAGTACAAATATTATTTAATTCGTTTTTGTATTATATGAGAAATATGATATGAATTCTTAGTTCAGTATTTTCTATGTTTGTCTCCTATTATTTTTTATTAAAATAACCTGTATTTAAGCATGAATATTATGTAATTATTGTAGTGATTTTTAATAATGATTCAGTTTTAATTATATACTTACATTAAAATTTATTGACTTGTACATTAATTAAAACTTTATATACTCGATATGAACACATTACATTGATGATATAGATAAATAATTTAAAATATAAATAATAAAATTAAATTTTTTTTTGTATATTCTTCATATATTATTCTAGATTGTGTTACATGTTAATTGTATCAGTAAGTATAGAGTTTTTTTATATATATAATTATGTCTTGTTTTAATTGGATATAAATTATTTTTTCCATTTTATAATTGAAGTCTAAGGAATATAGTTCATATTTGAAATATTAACATCTGTGTTTATAGATAAGTAATAAAAATATATTAAAATTGTTCAATATGTTTATGTATTATTATATACTTGAACGTCAATCTTTTATCTAAAATTACGGTCTATTATAATGAAATATTTATAATTTTATATTTCATCTATTACGAAGTAATAATTTTTTTCTTATAATATTTTCATTATTTGAAAATATATATATTTTTTTTTTTTTTACCTTTCTTTTTTTAAAAAAATTAATTCTCTAATATTATCGTTTAAATGAATATATGTTGAATTCATTAATAGTAATCATATGTTTTTTATTGGTACCCTAATGTGGTACCTCCTATTCTGTAGTTGTTATCATCGAAATTATTGTGTGTAAATTCAGATGAATCCATTATATTGAGATAATCCTTATTTTTTTTGTTCCATATATTGCTCATCTTCTTTACAGCTCGTTGTATAAGTAATCCATAAGGAGTATACTGTTAATGTGAGGTCAATTGGATGTATATGAATGAACTATTTATTTTATGCAATTTCTTAATAATTACGTGTTAAGCAAAATTTTAATTCTTTTATACATTAATAAAGTTAATTTTATATTTAACATTATAAAAAAAGAATATTATCATTAATAATGTAGTAGGTATAATAATTAAACCTAAAATAATAATGCGCAAATTTTTCAAAGATTCAAAGAGTTTGAGTCTTTCTTGTATATCTGGCATGTATTTCATATTTTCATATTTAAATTTATCTAGTAATTCACGGAAGCTCTGGTTCTCTATCTTTCCATATTCGCATAGGAGTTTCATATATTCCTTATAACATTCACCCTCAGGAGAGCATCCATTAGGGCTCCATAAAAATTTTTGATATAGGTTATTCAATTTTTTCAATATGGAATATATGTCATCATGTATATCTTCAAAATCGCCTTTACATACATCAGAAACACTTTCAAATGTAGTTCCTTTGATATTATTAATTATTAATTCATATCCACTTCTAGAGTTTTTTTGAGTGCAATTATGATATTGTAATACATCTTTTAGACTATAGATGAAATATTTACAATTTCTTATTCTATCTGAGGGGGATAATATGCTATATATGTAGTCTAAATAAAGTATAAGCTGTCTACATGATGATTTAAAGGTTTCTTTATTACTACTAGGGTTCAAAACATTTTCAATATTACTACACGCATTTTGAAGACTAAATTCATGAAGTCTTGGGTTTCTTGTTACTACGTTAGTATAATCAAGCATACAGTTAGGAAATATACCCTTAAAGTCGAACTAAAAAATGAGTTATAATAATCATAAAAGATTAAAATAATATTTATAAAAATGTATTTTTTAATATGATTATATAAAGATGAATATTTTCAAGTAGGTTATTAAGAATTGTAATTGATATTAATAGTAGTATCCTACCTTTTCTATATTTGAGGCAGACATTATGCTATTTTATCTCAGTTATGCAAGATATAGTTTATATATTTGTAATTATAAGGGTTTGTACGTAAAAGAATTATATCACATACCATATTTATATAAAATAAAATTTCATATATAATACATAGATCTTAAATAGTTTTTTAAACTTATATTCTTATATTATTCTTCGTATATACTATAATATGATTATATAGACCGTTCTATAGGGGAGAAAAAAATTAATAAATTAATTAAATATTATCAAGAAAATATATATAACTCTGAAATTAGATAATAATACAAAATAATAAGAATTATATTTATTATTATTTTTATATATATAATACTCATATAATATATTACATAATATAATAATGTAAGAAATATATATATATTATAATGAAGTTCTTTCATCCCCAATATTTATTTATATGTATTTTTCTCGAATGTTTATACTTAAATAAATTGGTGTAGAATATAAATGCTTATTTTTATCAATTAAATATATAATTATATTGTATATGTATATATTAACATTTTTTTATTAGTAATAAAATGTATATTCTATCTAATTTAACGTGGGTAATAAATGTTAATTTTATATTTCTAAAAAAGCATATGAACCTTGTATTTTTATAAATTAAACATTAAATTAAATATATATTTTTATTTAAATGTATAAAAATCATTTTAACTTATAGTAAAAAAAAATATAAATATTACCATTATTATTACATGAAATGTTATATGAATTTCATATATATTACAGATTAAGATTTCTGGTTCATTGATAAATTATTTTATTATTCTCATATTTGAAACAACCAGAACGTTATTAAAATTAATTTTAGATACATATATATATGAATAGTGTACAGACAATGTATTTAAGATTCAACATTATATAACAAATAATGAGGGAAAGGACGTAATGTAATTTATCATTAAAAGTTATATGTATATTTCTGTATTTATAAAATATATAAAGAATATATACAATTAATTAAAACGGTATATTTCTAAAAAAATGTGCCAAAACAAATTTCATATATATCTATTGTAAACAAAACCAAGAGCTATTTAATATATTATACTTATTCTTTTTCATATTATTAGTGTAAATATAAATGTATCTTTAAAATATTCAACTACTCAATAAAATTACAAGAAAATGTATCATAAAATATATATTATATCAAGGATTGTATTTATATAACATTTTTGTGTTGATGCAACTGTGATAAATTTTATTCTATATCTTATACAACAATTTTTTTTCTTCTCTTTTTAGTATAACTTATAAATTATAATTATATGTGCTTCTTTTTATTAATCATATATAAAAAAATTTATATAACAATATGCTTAAAATATATATTCCATCCTATAAATAAAAAAGTGTATAGATTAGAATAAATTTCTAGATATTGGTGGCTGCGGAATAAAGAATAATATATTTGCAGTTCATATTATATATATGGATAGAATATTTTATTTTAATTTCAATGTACATTATATAAAAGTGAAAGGGATAAATATTTTACATGAAAAAGAATAACATATATTAAATTTATTTTTATAATTTATAATAAACTCTAAAGGGATAAATCATTTATATATTAGAAGATATCATGTACATATAATATATTATAATTAAAGATTTTTTTATTTTATAATATTGAATTATATACATTCATTACATGATTATTTGAATATAATTGATATTTAAGTGAAATGTGTTATAAGAAATATATGTTTTATTTTACTATACTTCTTATATATATTGGTAATTTGCAATATCAAAACATACATAATATATGGTGTATTTTTATTTTATATTATATAATTCTACTAACAATTCTTTAGAGCAATTTGTGAAAAAAAAAAAATCAAAATCATTATTATTTTATAAAGTAAATATATAATATAAGGAAATATGCTATTTTTATATATTTATCTTAATAATTAAAGTATAATAATGAAAATAAGTACATAAAATGCAAAGACAACTCATATACATAGAATTAATTGTTTTCACAGAAACAATTATTCGTAGTGTTTTTTAATGAAGGAATATATAAATTAATACTTATGTATATATATTAATATAATATAAATTTATGTTACCATAAAAATAGATAAATCATATATACTTATTTTCCATAGTACTATTTTACATAGTACTTCATTTATAACAATATATATTCAGTTTATGCATGATAAAATAAATATTTTATAACATATATTTTAACATTATGTAAGATGAATGTAATACCATATTCACGTATTTAATACGTATGAATATATAAAAATTAAAATAATATTTTATATATCTGATTTGTAATCTTCTTGAACAAGGTGCATTTTATTTTGCTTATGTATTTTCTTCGTTCCCATGTATTTAAAAGATTAATTTCAATAATTATTTACGAACTAAATTTTTTGTTACTTTAAAAGTATAAAATATTGTGCATACTTATTATTGTGATTTAAAAAATTATTAAAATTAATAACATACGTAAAATTTAAAAGATAATGCTTTAGATCCTATATAAAAGTGTCAGTGCTAAAACATGTATATGATATATATATAGTTACAATTTAAGACATAATATAATGTTTTAAGTCTGAGAAATATATCATTTTTTAATGAATCTATGTAATGTATGTTTGGTTCATTTAATATTTTTTTAGCATATATATCTTAATTATTTCCATTATATATGAAGACAGTATCTATATTTTTTTTATATTCCTAAATATATGAAGCATATTTACAAGAACAATAATTCGAATAAGAATATACTTAATAATGATTTTTATATAAGCATTCCCACTTTTTTTAAAAAAGTTGTGATGGATTCTTTGGTTGAATGTGAAATAATATTACAATGTATATTTTAAGCGTAGTAATATGTAAGTTTTGCATTAATATGAATTTTAATTAATAATATTGTTATAGTTTTAGTATATTTATTTTTATGTAAAATAATACGTATAAATAGAAAATGCAAAATTTATCCTTTTAACAATATGACGAATTAGACACCAAAATATTTAAACTTAAACGAATTTAAATTTTTTATTTTATTAGATTCATATAACATAACGCACATATCAAAAAAGCATTTGAAATACACTACGTTTAATTAACAAATGATAATTATAATATAAAGCATATATTTTCTTCAAGTGCATTAGTAAATATTATATATAGCTACTACGGTTTTTTGTATAACAAATTAATTACTTCACATTTATATGCTTAATTTTTCATAGATTCCTGAGTAAAATAAATACCTAAAGATACAACAATAATATGGTATATTTACATGATTAATATCAATTGAAATATATAAATAGTTTAAGTATTTATCGTATTATTATAAAATATCTCTATTATTTACATTTTTTTTAATGTTTTGTATATATTTATTCTTTATAATGACATAGCTTCTTAGCATAATAAAATTTTATTTATGTGTTATATATGCACAATTTCATGGGGTATATTATAAATAAAATGAAAATAATTATAACTTCTTTTTAGTACACCTCAATAATAAATATATTATACAATTTATATTTCATTGTTCAGTGATTTACTTTAATCTACAGTATTGAATTTATTCTTATGCTAACGTATTTATATTTCTATACAATATTATACTGAATAAAATTACATATTTATAATGAAATATTTGTGTTTTTTCTCTAATAAAACATTCATGCATAAATGTAATATTTTCGGTTTAAATGGAAAGACATGAATGCTAATACACCATTTTTTGTTGTATTCTTATTTATTCAATTTAATAAAACGTTTAATATTATAATATATATTTTTCCTTTGTTATATGGGTAATATAGAAAATATTAACAATATATATAATGCTAATAGGCTAATAATCTGCATGCATTCACTGAAATACAACAAAAATTATATATTTTTTTTCGTCAAAATTAAATGAATTTTTTATATTGTATATATAATATATGTGAATTTGATTAATTATAATTAATTACATAATTATTATTTAATTAGACTTAATATTACATAATTATATATAAATAAGTAATAATACATTGGTGTTATAACACATTGTCTGCATAATTATAAGAAAAAGTTAAAACAAAGATAAATGTATATTACTAATAATAAAGCAGCAAGAACTTAATTAACTTACGTATTATATAATTATAAAAATAATCATAAAATGAAAATTTTAATACCTTTATAAGGTTATTTATATAGACTAAAAAAAATTATATTTGTTTCAAAATCATATTAGTGAAAATTAGTTATCATGTAATATGCAAATATAATTCCATATTATATATGTAGCTGCAAATTTAAGTTACAGCATAAATAAGACATTCAAAATAATACTTTTTTATCCTGACATCTCATTAAATATTGTTTCTATTTATTATTTATACGCACGAAATTCCTCATACTACACATTCATAAAATATGTAGATTTATATATGATCAAATCATATATATTTATAGTAAATCAAAAAGTATAAAAAGCATATTTCAAGAAAAAATGTGCTAAGATTCAATAAAATCATTCCAATATATTATTATATTATTCATAAAATATGTATAAATAATGATAATTACTGTCTAAATTATTATATATATACATAGGTAGTAAGAATAATTATGCACGGAATGTATATTTTTATTGTGAACAAAAAATATATTAAAATATTTATAATGAAAAAAAACAATAACAATATAAATGTTCTGAAAATGCATGAATTTATTTCCATGTTATATATTATAATATATAGGAATAAGGAATATTGTTTATTAAAGTGTCTCCTATAAGTTCTTATGTATAAATAAAATATGGTCATATTTATGGTGTACAGTTTATTTAAGGAATAAATGATATATTAGTCAAATATATATATATATTTATTATAAGAACTATATTAATATTGTTACTTCATGAATAAAATATATTAAATTTATTACATATAAAAATATCAGCTTGTATATTTTCATGAATATACATCATAATATATACAGGTATTCTTCGTCAAACATATTATTGTTTAAATATATAATAGGAGATTTAGTAATAAATATAATTATTATTAATCTAAATGGTATAATTATATATTAAATTTAAAGCTATTGTTTTTTCTTGCAAGCATAAACATTAATTTTTATGAGAATAATAATTTTATATGATCTAAATATATATTGATCTGATAAGCACAATTAGTTAAATTAATAATATGTTAGAATATGTAATAAAAATATAATTCTTTAAAATATACTATCTTTATAATTATGGAATGTGTTTTAATAATATGTGAACTTTTGGTACATTACATATTCATTTATTTGTTAAATATATAATGTGTATTAAATAACATTCACTGAGTTAGTAAGCAATAATCATACATTATTGTGTTTAATATTACATGTAAATATAGAAAATAATACTTATTTAGTAAATATAATGTGATTAATATTTAATATTATGTATATATTTATGTAATGATTAATATAATATACAATTCTTCTGCTTAGTATTGTTCTTTAAATATAATTTTTATGAAAACGTTGATACAGAATAAATAAATAAACTATTTAAAAATTTTAACTAAATTATTTTTAATTAGGTCGAAAATAAAAAGAATAAAGCAATTTATTATATTATAAAATTAATGCATTACTAATGTGGTTTTTTGACACATTAAATATTTATATTTAGAAGTATCTAAAAATACATGGTTTATTAGACATATATAGCAATTGACAAAGAAAAATATGAATTGATTAGGTTTTTTTTATTATATTTACATCTGAATTAATGTATTATTATGTTTCTTTAAAAAAAATTAACTATTACAATTGAATAAATATAATGAATGTTTATGTGCTATTTATTATTAATTATGCGTTAAAATAATATTTGAATCTATAAAGAAAAGTATTTATAAACAGTTTTATAATATTAGACCACTGATTTATGTTTTGTATCAATACAAGATACGAGAAATGCTTATAAATATGAATAATTTTATGTATCACTATATATTCTTTATAATAAAATAAATACAAAACATGGAACAATAATAACTGAATCCTGAAATATATTTGTGAAATAACATAAATTGTGAAAACAAATAATACATGTACGTAGTAAATATGAGGAAATAATATCATACATATATATGAATAAAAAATAATATAAATTATATATAAATTAGTTTTTATAATTCATCAGTACTAAATTTAATATAGTATATATAATAAAATTAAAATATATTTATATATTAGTTACAGAATTAATTTAGGAATTATTAATATTTAATTAAATAGATGAATAAAAATATCTCTAATAAAGAACAAAACATAATAAAGGATCATGTAAATTAATATAAATTAAATTGATAATCTTTCTTCTTTTTATATATAACAATAAGAAGAATGAGTCAAGAAAATCTGTGTGAATATACAAACACTTTTCATAAACACAAAAATGAAAAAAATAAATTTAATTCCATGCCCTTAGATATGAATTAAAAATAGTATAGTAACTCACTGAAATATTATTTCATTAAATTGACGTATTATTAGTTTTTATTATTTTATATTGTCTATTATTTTTTTTTTTTACGTGAACTATTTTATTGATGAATTGTGAAAATATTTCGATTACATTATTCTATATGAGTTTTAAAGAAATAATTTTAATAAAATACATAATTAATCGTTAATTGAATGGGAACTATATAACACATTATAATTACTATTCCAATATATATTGTTATATATTTCTGAGTTTTCTGATATATTACATTGTTCCTTGAGACGACGACACTTATTTATTATCCTTTTTATTTCACGACGTATGCATGAATTATATGGCAGGAACTAATTTGTAATAAAAAATATTACGTATTAAAAATATATTAATATTATAATTTTTTTTTATTTTTTAAAAGTTTTATTATGTATATATATATATATATATCAACATCACATTTAACCTTATAAATTATAAATAACAAAGCGGGTATTATTAATATTATAATAGTTGATATTATAGAAGTTTTTGATTTACTATTTCTGGGAATATATAACTGTATGCTATCATTTTTACGGCACGGTAACTTTTTGCATTCAACATTATTACAAATATCTGTTAAATTTTGTATATTATTATATTCATTTTTAATATCTTCTAATACCGTGCAAAAAGTGCTATTATTATTAGATTCGCATTTCTTTAGGTTTATTTCATATTTAGCTGAACATTCATTAATACAATCACACTTAGATTTAACAGATGGGACATTAGGATTATTTATATAATAAAGATTATTATACATTTCATATAAATTGCTCACGTCTTTGAATACATTTTCAGAAATAGGTTTATTCTTATAATAGTTGCATATGTTATTACCATTATTACTACTTACTATATTAAACAACTTCGTATAAAAACTTTGGGTATGTTGACTTATACCATTAGACTTAAATTCTTTGTACAGCCAATAATATAAGTAAAAACAATCTGCTTTCGAATATGCATCATCACTATTATAATCCGCTTTTATTTTGGATGCAAATAACAATGCTTTTTTGCATTTATCTTCTGAGAATTTACCATTTATATATTTATTTGCTCCAATACTGCCACTTGGAAGACAATGCTTATAGTCTAAATTCAAAATTGAGTGGTTCTTTTCTAAATTGTCATTATGTTCACGAAAATATTTCACTAATTTGTACTGAGAAAAAAATAAAGAACACATAAAAAAAAAAAGAATTTTCTAGACAAATTTTCATATTTCATATGAAAAAAAAAAACATATTTATATTATAACTCTATAAATTCTATATTATTAACAGCAATTAACATTAAATGTATCCATCTATGGCAAAATTATATATACTTGAGGACGATATAATGGCAATACCTTTGTTTTATAATATATATATTCATATCTATTATAAAGCAAGCATAAATTATAAGAAAGTGTACAATTAACATTTTTTTGATTATTAAATTCATAAAAATTGACATCAATATCATAATTTATCAAGGATTACACTAATATGAATGAATTAGGAAATACATGCAGCATATAATATTCAGTATTAATTATTATGTAAGAGAATCAAAAGGTATAAATACATTATATAGCAAAAATAAGTTACATTAATTTAAAAATCATAACATTAATATTTTCATGATAAATAAATATAAAATAATTTTGCTAATTATCTATATCATATATATATATATATATAATACTAATATGCATGATTATTTTTAATATATATACATATATATTTACTCATTTCCTATTCACTGACACAAGCTATAGGAGTTAATAATTATATTAAGAGTACCATAATTACGTTTTAATTATTTGTTATATTACTTTTTAATTATTTAATTAAATAGTTTATATTATAAATAAATAGATTATTCTTATTTAAATGAATTCCTTATATTTATAACTACGAATTTGTATTAATACCTTAATACATGATAATATTTAGAAAAATTTTAATATTCTATGTATATACTTAATATGAACATTTTTACTCATTCATTTTTTTTTTAATTATCTATACGCTGAGACATAATTATTGTATAATAAAAAAAAATTACCTCGTATGTATCTCAGAAGTTCATTTTACTCTTATATATAAATATACAATAGAAATATTATTTACATATAAAATGTACAATATACATGTAATTCTCACAATTATAATATTTATTCTTTTTAAATATATCATGTTATATAGTAATATAATATTAAAAACATGTGCTATAAATCATAAATATATAATATACTGAATTTATATGTTTTTTTTTCATTTACAATTATTTTAGGTATAATAGTACTTTATTTGAAATAAAAAAGAATATAATTCTTATTCAGGATTCAGGTAACAGGGTTTAGGTTTCAGAGTTTAGGATTCAGGGTTTAAATTTCAGAGTTTAGAGTTCAGGTTTAATGTTCTTTATTCTGCGTATAGTTTTAATGGTTCAGCGCTATGAAATTTTCCTTTTTATATTTATATTTTTATAGTATTATTATGCGAATTATTTTACTGTTAATTTTGAAATATGATATATTGATGTTCGAAAAAATATTCAACATTTCATATATTTACGTAAATTGAATATGTTAAAATTACATTAGTAGTTAATTTATTATGTTTCATAAGACTGTAAGCGAAGATTTGCAAAATAGGTAGAAAATTCATAAATTTTATATGATGGACTATATACAATTTAGTATATATGACAATTTTTAAGTAAATATAATATACAGAAAGGTTACATAGAAATATTTTAAAGTTAAAATCTATATTTTGTTGGAATAATTTATCCCTATTAGTTATTTCATTTTATTTATATAATTTAATCACTGATACTTGTAAATTTATAACTAATGTACATATTTAAATGACTATAGCTTATAATTAATAAATATATAATAAAGTTATATATTATTTATTCCATAATAATGAAATTATTTTAATTAATTTCATTAAGTTTTTTCGTTCATTTCATTTATTTTTATATAATTTTAAAATTTTTTTATAATGCATTATTTTAAAATTCATATTTACATAAGAAAGCATTAAAAAAATTTGGTAAATTTTAA